CTTACTATTTCACTGATAATATTAGTTTGAAAAAATCCCAGGTATGATTAAATGTCTGTTTCAAAACTATTTAAAGATTAAGTAGGCGAGATCACATTTTCCTTCTTATTCCAGGAAAATGACCGCAGATCCAGCAGCAACAAGCCATACAGCACCTGATGTAAAGTACTCAATAAAAGACAAGCTTATGAAAAGTTCAAGTATGCCTGGGTAAATATACACTAATTTAAAGTTTTTGACATAAAAGTAACAAACTATATTACACTCAGTATATCTGATTTCATTTTTAGTCTTGCTGCAAACTTTTTAGTTGCATTTTTAAGAATAACACTAAACTACTGAGTTTTAAATCAGCAAAGACAAAATTCTGATAAGTAAATGAGACTAAAGGACACAGTTTCTTAATAGTAAAAGTAATACTGACCCTCCAACCATCCAACCCATCATCAAACCAAACATCTAACAATCCAGCCAGCCAAGCATGTGATAATTCATTCATAGAATGATTGGGATGCATTTCCAGTTCACTTTTTACCTGCAAAGATTATGGCTTTAACCAAACTAGTGTGGTTTACCTATTCAGAAGAAAGTGTTTCAGCTAACCTTCTGCTGTGTCCTCTTCATTTTATTTATTCTACATTAAATACATGTAGTTTTATCAGCTAAATGTTTGTAAAGGAAGGGTCCATGTGTTGCCACGGTGCAGTGGTTAGTACAGCAGCCAAACAGATGAAAAGTCCCAGGTCGCCAGCTGGGAGCAATACAAGCCAAGCCTCTGAGAATGGGGGAATACATACCACTGAAGCTACAAGTTTATTTTCAACCACACAGGAATATTGGAATTAGATGAACAAGAAAGTCCAGGTTGCTAGAATTCTTGACTAAATGAGGAGCTCTTTTTAAAGTCAGCAACAAAAGTCAAAAGCTGAGAATTTCCAAAAAGGCATTGCATCATGTTGTTCTGATATATCTTAAGGTTTACCAATGTTTTCTTTTTTAGAGTGAAAAGCAAATCTTTTAATTTTGTGCATAAAGTTGGCCTAGTAAATCTTTAGAAAAATGTTTGCACTGCCACAGTTTTTTCATTACTTTATTTTTGAGCCGGGTGTGCGTAATAGTGAACTTATAATGCATAGAGAGTGTGTAGGTGCAGCTCTGTTTGAGGACCTGGACTTCCCCTATTGTAGACTCCTCCCTGTTCTCTGGCAGCTCTGTGGTTCTGGCAGGGCCGCCGGAAAATTTCACCTGTCTTTGCCCGCAGGTAGGACTGTGGAAATGTCTCAGCAGCTTCCTTGTTGGTTATCTGCCATTAATCAGGTGTTGTTGTAAAGGTCATGTGAATATTTTAACATTTTCTGTTCGAAAGTACAGACAAGTTTTTTTTTAATGGTTTTTAATTGTAGAAAATTGACAGTCAATAAATCAGTGCATTCTTGAATGAGTGAGCAAAGAGTCTGTTACCATCAGCTCAACTGCCACCTGCTACCTGGCTAGACTTCCTTGGCTTCACTCCAGAATCATGTGACTGACAAAGACAAACTGAGGCGGATTATCACACCAGTTAATCATCACATTACTTCAAGTTTAAAGTTGAATGGGGTAAAGTTGAATGGCTTATATTGTTAAGCACTTTGTGCAGCATCGGCTGTTTGAAATGTGCTATATAAATAAATTTGACCTTGACCTTGACCTATTAACACTAAAGTGGATAGAAAACAGGCAGTTATGCATTTTGCAGCTCTTATTTAAGCCTTCTAAGCCTTCCACTTCATCATAGCTGATGAAATACCTGCTCTACTACATGCTTTACATAAGCAGCTCCCACAACTTCCTCCTTTGAGAAGTTTTGTCAGTTATTGTTTAGCTGTTTTCTAGGTTTCATGTTATGACACAAATGTCTAGAGCTGGAACTCTGGAAAGATTAAAGGAGGAATGCAGTGTCACGTGTTTAGTGTGAAAAAATTCAACAGCGCTACGTGCTAATAGTTTTAGACCCACAAGAGGTACTCATTTTATTTCAATGTATGTATAAAACCACAAAAACAATTGCATAAATTACTCTTTTTTAACACAACAGTACATGCACAAAACCAAAATGTTACAATTACAAAGTATAAATTAATATTATAGACCTCTTAAAACTGAGCTAATATGTCCATTGTTTGACAACATCTTTCTTATTTACAGCAGGCTCCACATGATGGAGTTCACTGGACTATAAAACAGTTGCTGGATGCAAAGATCACATAAAAAACTTGGTTTTCTGTAGCTGGCATCAGTGGTCTCTTTAAAAAGCTCCAATGATCTTCTATTTCTGCAGCTGTGAGCTGCGCTGGTGGATCTTCTGCGCTTTTTTCCTAAAATGATGATAGATGGAGTTACTTCTCTTGCTGTTTATTAGAAAATCAGAACACTTGCTCTTTATTCTGTTTCTAAAAATCTCACCTTATACGATCGATAGCGTCAATCACCCACTTCAGAGCTGGATTGGCGCATGCTTTCCCCTTCTTTGTGTGGAAACTACATTAAAATAAAGCAATATGTTGATATTTGCACACCCACAGTAAACACTAGTTTCTTTCAAGCAGTTTGTTAAAGTAATTGTAATGATGCTCACATGATGGCATTGATGGGACACATCTCTGTGTCAGTCTGGACTGAGTACCCCTTGATGGCTGAACATGGTAATCTGCCTCTCATGTACCTTCGACAGCAGTCAGGATAAGCTGTGAAAGAAGGAAAGACAATTTGTGACTAAACAAGAAACAAATCATAGAAAGGACAAGAAAGCAACAAATACGAACCTGCTGATGTGTTTGCAGTCAGACAAACAGTAAGTGCGATCACCACCACAGCTCGGATTGGCAGCATGTCTTCTTCGTTTGTGTTGGCAGCAGTGACTCTGATGATGAAACTGTCTCGCCTTTTCAGATGGAGTCAGAGAGGTTGTGCTGGTAAAACTGTTAATCTCAGCAGCCTCATTTATACCTCAGCTCTAAACGCATGAAGACATGTGACATCATCACAAAAAGTCCCAGCAGAGGCACAAGTAGGAGGGGCGTATGAATCCACATGGATCCACACAACGGCAGTGTTTGGAAACCTTTGTTTTGATTATGGAAATTTATGGAACCACTTTTATTTAACACTTTTCCAGTCTTACAGTGTTTATGCACATACACACACCTGTCACAAAAAGGTAGTGTGATTACTTATTAACTGTGTAAAAACGTGTAACTTTTGGGAGGAATTGATTTCAAACCAGCTCAGTAGGAAGCAAGGAATTATAATTATGGGCAATTTAAAAGAAAAATATTGCATCATACATGTTAATTGTTGCATTAACACACCCTGACCTGACAAAGACTCCTGTAGAGGCAGCAGTGCAATGTGGGAAATTTTATAAGGCGTTGCTCCTTTTTGTGACTCTCAGCATTGACATCACAAAAGCGTCATTCTTAAATTAGGGAAATGTCACTGGTTTAAACATAGCTACAACCATTGATTTTTACTGGTCATAATCCAAAAGGCTGAGACAAAAATTCAATTATAAACCTGTCACTATTTTATTACCCAAGTGTGATATTTTATATATGGTATTTGTATTCAAATACAAGGACACATAAGTGTCTGTTTTAATAAAACAAACAATGTGGTGTAAGATGTATCAGTGTTTCGCGTATTTGTTCATAAAAAGAACATCTTTGTTTCTCCTTTGTTGTGTTTCCATCTTTATCTTTTGTTAGGAAAAAGAAGAAGGAAGACGCTTGGGTTGCTCAGCCTCTGCTAAATACAACTGGAGAGCAAACAGAAGTATAGCCGAACTGTTTCATTCAAAGACACTGGAAGTATAAATTATTACACTTCCCACTGTTGCATATGTATTTTATTTATTCCCACTTAGATGGGAATGTGATTTGTGAGCCTTAACTGTGTTTAATGTTAAATTAAACAGTTACATTGTGTGGGAGTATGTGCTTAAGTTTCCTTTCAGCATATTTTTGAGCATTCAGTACCTTTGAGGTTTTACTGAAGAATATTCTGGACTTGACATTGTATTTTTCGCTGGTTTGGATTGTTGCCAAAAAAAAAAAAAGTACATTGATCAAGTAAAAGGATGTAACTAATCATTAGTAACTCATCAGTAACTCACCCCCGACCCAGAGTGGTAATTCCACCCTTTTCTGGCTGATGACTATGACCTCAGACTTGGAGGTGCTGATGAACCACATCATCTGCAAAAAGCAGATACGAGATTCTGAGAGCAAAGTGGAAGCCTTTTGCCACTTGGCTACTGCTATAAATTCTGTCCATAAAATTTATGATCAGAATCAGCCCTGATGGAGTCCAACACCCACCAGCAAATTGTCTAACTTATTTGCCGGCTATGCAGACCAAGGTCTTGCAATAGAAGTATAAGGACTGATCGGCTCTTAGATGCCCCATACTCCCAGAGCAACTCCCACAGGACACTCTGTGGACACGGTCAAATGTGCTTTTGAGACTGAGATCACTACAATCACTCTAGATCTCCAATATTTATTCTATTCTTTATCATTGTATCATCATAAATACATAAGATAATAAAAACTAAACTGAAACTAGCAAACCCACTCTGTCTGTGTGAGTGGGTTTGCTTCAGGCCTATCTTTTCCTGTGTTATGACAGATTTTTCTTACCATTGTGTAATTAACTGTTATTTCATATCTGCTACAGGTAGATTTTCTGAATGAGCCTTGCTTTCAAGCAAGGAAAGAGTTTTCGTTGGTGGAGATTTGATAGACCAGTGTCCATAAAATTTTATGCTTTTTCCACATCAATGATGTCATCCTGGGCTATGGAACATATGTGTTTTCTATGTGCAGCCAAAAAGAAGAAGAAGAAGAAATAACTGCCTTATAGCAGCCGAATAAACAGAAAATACAAAAAGGTTTACACCGTAGTAATTCAAAATCTGGCACAACTAGGGGATTAAATATAAAATGAATGCCAGTATTGTAACCCACACGGGAACAAAAGTATAGATGCACGTCTATTAAATGTTTTGGTAGCCTACACCAGGGGCGTCCAACTCCAGGCCTCAAGAGCCGGTGTCCTGCAGGTTTTAGATGTGTCCTTGATCCAACACGGTTGATTTAAATGGCTAAATTACCTCCTCAACATGTCTTGAATTTCTCCAGAGGCCTGGTAATGAACTAATCCTGTGTTGACCCAGGGTGAGATCTAAAACCTGCGGGGTACCGGCCCTTGAGGCCTGGAGTTGGACACCAATGGCCTACACTTTTGATAGTAATCAAAAAATTTGTGGCAGAGTCAGTGCCAAGAAATTTCCAGTCAGAATGCCCGAAGCTCGTTAACGGTGACCAAAAATGTGTGGTTAAGCTGCAGCTTACAGCAAGACTTATGCAAAGGCCGTATTTTTGATCCTGCATTGATTAGAAAAAATCCAAAATAATTTCAAACTGGGGAACCCAAGTCTTGTTTTTTAAAGTTAACAAAAATGTGTGCTGTACAATCCTTCCAGTAGAATTCAAATTGTGACTGTAATACCTGTTAAATAGAGAATTAAGAGTAAAGGAGGAATGATGCATCATTCAAACAGCACAACACAAAATGCATTTATAAAGATTTTCTCTTACACGCGCGCTGATACTGCATTGTTTAAACCAGCAAACCAAAAGAGTCGCTGGCTGCTGGTGGCAAAGCTCACACAGAAAACAACATGACCCACAACACGATAACCAATATGTGTGCAACAGGTTGTATAAAAATGTAAGAGCACGTGTCAGCTGACATTCTAGAAACTAAACGATCATCTACAATTATTCCAACTCACTTGTCTTCATGGTGGGACTGTTTAACCTTTAAGAAAACATCATATCATGTTAACTGTAAACACAGAGAAAAATTTGCAAAGTAGAAAGTAATTTACGCTGTCACAATAAAAAGTGTGGTTTAAAAAACCACAACGAAACCTCCACAGCGAAAACCCAGCAAAAAAAGCATTTCCTTCTGAATTATAATGGACTAAACTGCAGTAAAATACAGGAACTTTAAATGTGTACATGAGCTTAGTATTTGGGTATTTTTTTGAAAGAACTTTAAAAAGACACATGTTAGCACAAGGTTTTTAAGGTGTTGTTCCTCTTTGTGAATCTCAACATGCACTTAAAATGTAAGATACCTAAAAATAACTAATACAGTGTGTGACATTTAGAAGCATGTGGGGATAAGTGTTTGAAGAGGATCAGGTATTTCACCGAAGACCTTCATGCTCTTGCTGAATGTGGGCGCTACACGTGGGTTGCTTTGAGGTTATACGAAGGTTTTAGGTCAAAGGGGCTTATTTTATACCGAAGACCGATGCAACAAAGGAAAAGCTGTGCATTTGAACCACTGAAATAGGTCACGATCCACGGACTATAAATGCAATTGCTTACTATAAACTTTCCACCAAAACCATCTCATGTCTTGGTCACATATTTCTCATTTCTCATTTCTGGTTATTACACATAAACTACCACAAGTGGCAAGCGGCTCTAGCTTGATACAGAAGAGGAAGTCCACACAAGTGTATTAGGTGTTGACTGACAAAAGACAAAGACAGAAAAGTCAGTAAATCAGTGCATTTCTGCGTGAGTGAGCAAAGAGTCTGTATCCATCAGGTCAGGCATCTACCCATTATAACAACCAAGGCTGTCATGGTCCTCCCGTGCATTGCTGCCATTCTCTCTCTCCTTCTTTATCACTATGAGTGTGTGGATGTGTTTGTGCCTGTGTGCCTAACCATGCTTTGTCTTGCAAGGGTTTGATCCTTCCAGAATTCCCACCTTCCACTCAGGGACACCTGACACAATCAAGCTCACCTGTTTGTCATGTGCTGATCAACCTGCCACTACTTATACTGGGAGAGATCCTTTAGTCTGCATCTGAGTGTTGAATTAACCATGTTATTGAAACCTGCTCCAGTCTCCCAGTCTGCAACTCTGCCGCTTGTGTTCCTCTACGATTATTCACCTGTCCCTCTCTTCTGTGGAGAAGTTATCCTGCTGAGAGAAATCTGTGCGAGAGCGAGGGGGGGGTGGAGAAAAATTTGTTCCTCTTCACGTGCGATTGGAGCTCAGACCTCATTAATGGATTTTCCTCTACAAAGGACCTTGTAAATCGAGACTGTATGATTTGTGTTCATGAGCACTGCAAATAAACTCATTCAATTATGACAAAGTAATGTGATGGTTACACAAAGTAACACATTACTTGAGTTTGCTTTCATAGGTTATTAACATGGAGAGAAAACAGGGAGTTATGCATTCTGCAGCCCGGATTCCTGGTTATTGCATAGAAACTATCTCAGGTGTGTTTTTAAAAGACAGCAATTGACAGAATATTTACACAGTTACCTTCAAACACATGCTGGGGATGTAAGGTAAGTTTAATTTCATCGTCATAATATAATAAAACTTTTCTAATATATTAAAGCATCAACCAGTATTACCTTAGTATTATGAGGTTACTACCACTTTAAAGTTAGTATATAAAAATGTACATGCATAGTTATCACTATTTGATTCCTAGCAGTTATATATTCTTATTAATATATTACACTATATATTATAATATTTCTGATTTGCATTGCTTCACAGACATTATTACATCCAGTTTATGACCCCATATAACCCAATTAAATAAACTGCAATTTAATATTATGCAGTTCAAACCATTATTGCTGTATTACTTGATTATTACATGAATGTTACTTTAATAATTAAGTGGTAGCTAATGACACCATGTCAACAGAAATATCGGTTCCTTCTTCAGCTCCCGTGACTTCCTCCTGCTCATGTCACAGGACTCTCACCTGTCATTGTTTAACTATTAGCAGCACAGAACTTCTAAAGCTGGATGTTTTCACCACAGAAAACAACAGCACACAAGCAGATCTGGCACATGTGCTCATTTCATTTCAGCATTTATATGAAAGTACAAAATCCTATCTTACATTTACAAAGAATATAAAATTAAAATATTACACAAGCTTTTAAAACTGAGCTGATATTGCTGTTGTTTAACAACATATTTGTCATTTGCAGCAGGTTCCACGAGACGGACGTCAGTGGAAGATAAAAGAGTGAAGTGTTTCTTTAGCTGGCATCCACCGTGTGCGTAAAAAGCTCAGATGGTCTTCTTTTCCCGCCCCTGTGAGCTGTGCTGGTGGATTTTCTGTGCTTTTTTCCTAAAATGATGATAGATGGAGTTACTTCTCTTGCTGTTTTTTTAGAAAATCAGAACACTTGCTCTTTATTCTGTTTCTAAAAATCTCACCTTATATGATCGACAGCGTCAATCACCCACTTCAGAGCTGGATTGGCGCATGCTTTCCCCTTCTTTGTGTGGAAACTACATTAAAATAAAGCAATATGTAAATATTTTTACACCCACAGTAAACACTAATTTCGTCTCAAGTATTTTTTGATCTTTAAAGCAGTTTGTTAAAATAATTTTAAAGATGCTCACATGATGGCATTGATGGGACACATCTCTGTGTCAGTCTGGACTGAGTACCCCTTGATGATGGAGTCCTGTAACCTGCCTATCATGTATCTTCGACAGCAGTGACGATAAGCTGGGAAGAGTAAAATATAATATCTGTATCTGCCAGATCCCAGTAGTGGCAATGCTGATGTGTAAGCGTATGTGATTAAGGGAGAAAAGACAAAGAAACAAAAGAAACAAAGACAAGTACATACCAGCAAATGTGCTTGCAGGCAGACAAACAGTAAGTGCGATCACCACCACAGCTTTAATTGGCAGCATGTCTTCTGTGTTTGTGGTGGCAGCAGTGATGATGAAGCTATCTCACTGTATCTGGTGGCTCTTCAGGTTGAGTCAGTGAGGCTGTGCTGGTAATGTGCTGATCAAGCAGCTTCATAAATATTTCAGCTCAGCCCAGAGCAGAAGAAGCTACATCATGAAAAAATCCTGCCACTTTCCCCAGTGAAACAAAGAGGAACTGCTTGGATCATTGTTGGATCAAAACAATGGTAGCGTTTGCAATCACTGGTATGATTATGGAATGACAGCATTGTTCAAATTTTACAGTAAAGTTCAGAAAATCTCCTGTGTAACTGTTTTTAACTGTTTTTCTATTTCTGTGTTCTGTATATCATCATATTGGTGTGTTTGTACTGTACAGCACTGATGTTATTATGTTTGAGCAATTCAGTTTAAGTGAATAGTCCATTTTTTTCAAGGCTATTTCTACTCAACGTTCATCCTATGAAGCGTTCCTCATGTTCTAAAAGATCAAATCCAGAGTACTTGTTGGTCTGACCCGAGTCAAACTTAAGTTGGCATAAAAAAATCCTCTGTTTATGGCCTCTCTCGACATAAACAGATGTGTCCAAATTTTAATTATGGCTTCAAAACATGCCATGTTTGTGTGATAACAGGCCATCAGGAGACATAAAACGATAAAAGGAATGTGGGATTATAGATGTGAGCAGATTCTTCAGTGGGGAGAAAAGCAAAGCGGAGAAAATGAGAGATACCGATTTAATTGTACCGCTTCCTCTGACTGATAGGGGACTGCGGCAGGTGTTTTTAACGGGTCTTTTTGTTTTGATCTGTGATACTAACGACATTAACGGTGTCTGCTTTCGACTCAGTCTGCTCTTTTACTTGTTGGATGAATGTGTAAAACGCTTGACTATGGCATCATAAGACTTTAAAAAATACATAAATAACAGAAATAACATTGTCTGCATATCATTAAGAGAGAGTTTGGGGTTTTGTTTGTTTGGGGATTTTTTGGCACTTTGTTTCCATTTTTTGAGACTGTGCGACTGTCAGTCCATGTATTTCTTATTATATCTATCTTATTTTATCATAATAAATAGAGAGCATAATAAAATATATCATCTGTAATATGCCCTTATCTCATATCTGCTACATGTAGATTGCTTTTTTCTGAGTGAACCTTGCTTCCAAGCAAGGAAAGTTTTTTTTTTTTTATTTGGCGGAGACGTGATGGATGAATGCCCATCGAATTCTATGCTTTTATATCGACTTAGACTATGGGAAATTTGTGTAAATTACTTTAAAAATGTCCATTTGTGGTGCCGTGTGGCCAAAAAAATGTGGATGCCTTGTCTAAACATTTAAATCACCGCATTTACAATAAGTTAGAATTCTGCATTCTCAGTTTGTGATAATGTAATTAGAATATGATGAAAAATACTTTCTTTATCACAAAAGTTGGGAAGCTACTGTGTTACAGCAGCTGATTAAATAGAAAAAATACAAAAAAGTGATGCAATCAAAGTGTGATGGAAAAAGGAGATTGAATAAATATATATACATATAGTCAAAGTTAAAATTATATCTGGTGTACACAGCCTAACGATAAAAAATTAAACAGCACACACGAATAAGTTGTTTTAGACTTGGAACAGGTACTCATTTTATTTGAATGATTAGATGAAACTACAAAACCATTAATAAAACAAATGACTCTTTTTACAAAAAGATTTACAAAGACGATAAAGACATAATATGATACAAGCTCTTACAACTGAGCTGAGATATGCATTGCTGAACACCACATTTGCCATTTACAGCAGGCTCTTCAAGCTGGAGTTAACTGGATTTAAAAACAGTGATGTATTGCTGGTTGCTGGCTGCAGGCTGCAGAGCTCACATAGAAAACAGTCTGCTGTAGCTGGCATCCTTAAAAAGCTCAGACGATCCTCTATTTCTGCTACAGTGAGTTGTTCTGGTGGATCTTCTGCGCTTTATTCCTAAAATGATGATAGATGGAGTTACTTCTCTTGCTGTTTGTTTCAAATCAGAACATTTGTTCATTATTTTCTTTCTAAAAATCTCA